TCTGCAGAATCTGTTAGTTCAATCTCTAACGTTCTGCTCTCTCTGCTTTTTCTCATAGTAGCTTTGCTTTGTGTGTTTCCTGGACGGGGCCGCCTGTGGAGCTGGTTGACAGTTGCCTTTTGTATCTATGCTTCTTTTTCTATGTCTGCTAAATCCATTAAATCATCACACCTAAATCAATTCTTAGTTTCAGGTATAAATAAAGATCCATTGATCATTCCTTTCTAACCAGACTTTTCCCTGAATTTTCCACTTCCCTACATCGTCCAGATAAAGGTTAGCAGAGCGTCACTCCAAGGTCCGACCGCAGCTTCATTTTTATTGGTTCCGCTATCGCTGCTTGGTAAATGGAAAAACATTATTATCAACTATTTTAATATTTTATATAGACAACAAAACAAAACAATTTTAAGACCTGTGAAAGGCTGATTTAAGACATTTTAACACTAATTAAAGCTGTAGTTTGATTTTGCAGAATTCAATACCTTTTAAGACTTTCTAAGGATCGGCGGGAACCGCGGAGCGAAGAAAAAGAGCAGGAACTAAAACCAACTGAACATCTTTCTGTGTCATAAACTGCATTTATGGATTATAATCCATTAGATTATAATCCATTAGATTATAACCCATTAAAGCCTGGCTGAAGCAGGAGTCTGACCTTGAGCCCGATGACGTTCTGACCGTTGATCTCACAGATGTAATGCTCGGTCAGCAGGCCGTTCCGGGCAGCAGAGCCGTCTTTGACCAGAGAGGTGATCTTCCCAGACTTGTAGATGAAGCCCACGTGTCCTGAGCTGTCTTTGTGCATGGTGATGGTGCGCTGGAAAGGCCTTGCAGAGAAAACACCAAGTTACTGCTTCAGCTTTAATGCTAAAAATGCCTCAAATTAAGCTTTAAAAACGTTTTTAAATAAAGATGCAAGTGAAGAAAGGAAGCAGAGGGTCTGTTATGGAGTCAGAAAGGGGTCATAATGTTAGCAAACTTATAAATCTTAGGTGAACTAAAAGAATAAAAGTTGAAAAAGAAAAAATATAAGTTGACATTGAATGTCCAATTTTTACCTCATAATCTGAGAAACTAAATAAGCAAACATAAAATAAAAAGAATTTAATCTAAGTTCTTCCCCTCAGCTTGAAAAAACTCACATTCAGTTAATTATTTTATTAAAATTTTCTTTTTATTGCAGTTTTCCAACTTTCCAATCAGTTTTTTCACATTTAGATTTATTCTGATTCTTCTTCCTGCTTTTTACTGGAAGAGCTTCTGCATCACAAACTGAACTTTGACCTGCGCTGGAACACATGGTTTCTGATGCTCTTTGGAGACATTTCATGTTTTTTCCGGTTTTACTAAATATTTAACAACGATAAGGTGATAATAAGGCTTCAGTGGGGTTGAGATAGCATCCCAGTTTTCATTAAAATAGTCTCATTTTTACAGCTGAATGTATCAGATTTTCTTGAGATCCAATTCTGATTTTATAGAAAACTATAATTTTAACTCAAATTAAGTTAAAAATATGTAAAATTATGATTGTATATTGACCTAATATTCCAAATAATAGCTTTATTTTATTTTATTTTATTTTTGCAATGCTAAGGGATTTTTATTTTGATTTTAACAATAACCCAAATGAATATTTTCAGTTGGAAGCCATGATCTCTTCCTGCAGCTCTTCATGTATCTGAATCCGTTGCCATGTTTTTTAGTCCCAGAGCATTTGTTCTAGATCCGCCTCAGAGGCTCCTCACCTGTCCCTCACCACCATCTCAATGCGGGTCTCTGCTGCAGCTTTCAGAGCCTTGTGGGCCTTGTCTGTGCTCCATCCTGCACAGTTCTGACCGTTGATCTGAAGGACCTGATCCCCGAAGCGCAGTCCAGCCAGAGCGGCGGGAGAGTTGGCCTGAACCAGCTGCAGAAACAGCCCCTATGAAAAAAAACAAAAGACAAAGAAAAGGTTCAGGATCCGAGGCAACAGAACCTCACAGGATCCCACAGGTTAAAGCATCGACACCTGAGGACCATCCGCCAACATGGCGGCTTTCACTGGAGGGAACGTCTCACCAATGGAAGGACTAACTGGGACCTTAACCTGATCTTTCTACTGGTTCACTTCCAACGGATCCATAAAGGCGAGCCGCGGTTCCACGAAGCCCAGAGGAACAGAACCCAGGATCTAAAGAAGGTCCAGAGTCGATCTTTGAGTGCCGTCGTCCTGCAGGTCTTAGAGGTTTCTCAGCTTCCGCAGGAAAACCTCTAAAACCTGCAGGACAGCGGGACTCTGGACCTGCCTAAGATCATCTAACCCTGAGATCAGAGCAGAACCATCAGCTTTCAAGCAGCGGACGTCTTTCTGGACGCTTCCCGTAAGCTGGAGACTGACGTTAAACCAGGTGAGCAGAGATGGTTTTAGAAAAACTATCTTTTTTCCATCTTTAAAACTTTCTTTGGTTCAGATTGATCAGCGTTTCATTTCTATATTATAATATTAGAATTGCCTCATAACTACAGGACTGGAGAGGCTCTAACATCCAGTTCAATCTATTCCTGATCAAAGGAACATAGATCTAGTCTAAACAGACGGATGTTTCTCTCCTGATCTGTTACTTCCTGCAGCATGGGGCTCTGCTACCGATGCTGACTCACGTTGTCGATGGCCCTCAGCCGCAGCCCGACCTTCCCGTCCTGGTCCTTACAGAGGATGACCTCCCGAAGCCCCGGACGGATCTCTGCCCTCTGGATGCCCACGTCTGCCCCCGTCACGGGGCGGATCATTCCCCCCACGCCTGAGAGGGAGGGGAGGGCCACCTGCTACACAGGAAGAGGAAATAGGAAGGAAAGGGGTAGAAATGTTACATTTCAGGTCAGTTTGGGATGGAGAAGCTCAGGATGAAGCATCAGGCGACGGTGTGGGATCCCAGAGAGCCACGCGGCACCACATGGCTGCATGGAGGCGGAGCAGCAGCTCCAACATCTATGAAAGCACCAAAACGCTTACACTGTCCGCCACAGGCACCAGCGCCAGGTTCCTCTGCACTTCATCGCTGTTGAGGGCCAGCCCCATGTAGTCGCCCAGCTCCTCCAGGTTCGGGTACAAACCTGAAAGAATGAGGAAGACCACAGCGTCACAGACGGACGGCTGCTAGGAGGCATGAAGCCAGTTCACCTGAAGGAGCAGCTGGTGTTCTGTCAGATGAGCATACCCCGTCAGACCAGCATACCCATTTATCCTTTTAGTTTTGCACGAAAAATAAAGTTTAAACTACCTCAGCGGGCCTGTATCCCTTTGTTTATGCAAAAAAAAAAAACAATTTAATGACTTTTTAGTTGTTGCTTTTTTAAAGCGTATGGCGATCTGACCTTAAATAGTTGTCTTTTTGTACATGACTAAAGCGATGCACGCCCGTCGAAGTAGTTTGAAGTATATTTTTCATTCAAAATTAAAGAGATAAATGCAAATCTGATGTCTTGCGTTTGACTATAGGTATGCTGATCTGACAGAACACCAGCATCCGTTAGGAGCTTTCTGTGGACCGATTCCACTGCTTTTTAACGCTGTTATTTGGCTTTTAACTCCAGGTTTTTAAATTCTTTAACTGCTTTCTGAATTGCATCAAATAGTTTTATTGTAAATGTTGGTTTTTATCATGTATCCACCATGGACTGTTCTCCCTGCTGCCCTCTGGGAAGAGGCTTCCCAGCATTTAATGCAGGACCAGCAGGTTCTGCAGCAGCTTCTTCCCCACCGCCATCACACTGATGAATGTTTGGTCAAATGGGTTATTGTATTTTATTATAATTATATTTTACCATTATNTCACACTGATGAATGTTTGGTCAAATGGGTTATTGTATTTTATTATAATTATATTTTACCATTATATATATATATATATATATATATATATATATATATATATATATATATATATATATATATAAATAAAATTTAGAACTGTAAATTCACAGTAATATGTTTATATTACTGTTATTATTTTTTTTACTATTTTTCAAGGCTGCACTTTTAAAAAAGATGAAATTGAGCCGTTCTAAACAAAATTTATTTTTGTTTTACACTTGTGTAAACAAAATGACAAATAAATCTAAGTCTACAGAAATAAAGTGAATAGAATGAAATCTCCTCCATCTTGTTTTCATTATTTAGACGCAGAGATTCAGAGAAGTGGTTAATCTGAAGCACGGCGAGTCGCCACCTTCATTCCTCTGCTTTCTAAAGTCCAATTCGTCTCAGATTTGGTTTGCAGGTTTTTAAAACATGCAGCGAGGCCCCGCCCCCGTCTGGTGACGGTTAGAGAAAGGCGCCTGCAGCCTGCAGGGCATCATGGGTAAAGATGAAGGAAGTCTGAAGAAATGTTGAAGTGATTAAATTCAACATATTATATTCTGGCCGATATTTCCAGCTGATTTCTTCTCCTCCTCTTTCATGGAGCTCGCCAGTCTCTCCCTCACCGCCCTCGTCCTATCCCAGCTCAACTGCCAGAGCCGGTCGCCATGGTGACACAGTGAGCTCTGCTGAGGTGAAAACAAAAGAGGAAAAACCCACAGGATTTTGCATCCAAATAGAGGATTCTGAAGGAGTGGGAGAGCTGAGAATCTCTGGCTGACTGCATTTTCATTCTGCTCTGGACTCTCAGACCTACTTTCTCTCAGAATGAGGCCGCCTCCTTCTAGACTCAGGCAGGAATAAACCAGTAGAGAATAGAAGAAAGAGGCCGAATGAAAAACGTGACTGGAGGAGCTGTGAGGAGGTGTCGGTCTAGAGGGACTCACCTGATCCTGGCATCCCGGCAGGAACAGGCTGGGGCTGGTAGCTTCCCTCGGTGATGGCCGGCATCGGGGCCGTGCTCTGGGCAAACTGGGCCTGAGCCTAGAAAGCCATCAGACACAGACGTCAATCCAAGCAAGATTTTATGAGTTAGACAGATTTCTATTCAGAAGAAAGAGAAACAAACGTGAAAAAGAACAGAAAAAGAAGGATTATGTCCAGACTTTTAGCTAGAAAGACTGCTTTACTAAAAATATTAGCAATCGTACCACCTGTTTTGGGGAAGTACGGCTTTGGTACGCCCAAATTTCCCCCTGGAAACTGGGCTCAAATGGTCAAAGTTTCACAAGCAGCAGCTGCTGGAGTTAGAAAAATTTAACTTTTTCTGCTGGACGCGCCGCATCAACCAATCAGAGCAGCTGATCTGGGAGCTGGCAGGGAGTCAGACGCAGCACTGCTGATGCAGAGCGCTATGATCACTCCTCTGAAACAGTTTATTAACGCCTAAATTAACTTCAAATGTAGAAACCTGCCTTTAGAATATGTTCACTTTATTACTCTGGTGGCTGTGTAGGTACCAGATCTGCTCGGGGCCCCGCCCCTTCTTATGATGCCAACATATGGCAACTCCACTTAGACAAACTGTATTGCTCCCTTTTCTTAAGGATCAAATCTCTTTTGGAGTCTCAACATATTATTCCCAATATTTGCTATTATTTTACATTTAATTGACGATCTAAAGTAGCCGAAAGTAGAAAACAATCATTCTAAGTCTTAAAGAAAAGAACTGCCTTCTAAGACAGACTGAGCTCTGCTATTAAACAAGATGACAAAAAGTCTCAGTTTATTTTTATTCTTTTTATTAAGATCTGAGGGCAGGAAGGACAAACGGAACATCCTAAAAAATGAATTTCGTAGAGATTTTAGACGAATAAAACAGTTATTCTACTTGTAGAAAACAAACGGTTGTTGTTCACAGGAATTCAAAAGTAGTGTAGCTTAATATGGCTAACTGATCAAGCTAAAAGTGGCTAACCTGTTAGCTACTGAGCACAGCTAGCCACAGCGCTACCCAGCTCTTTATATCACGGTCGAATAGTTACTTTGTTCACCAGAAACAGAGTTTTTTCCCTTTTGTTATCGATCAGGTAAAACTTCATTGGTCGTTGGACATGCTAACGCTACAGAAGTTCCCGACTCCGCACATTGACTCTGCGTGACGTTATTATCGTCGTCTGGGCAACCACAATGCTTTACATCATGTGGCGACGTTCAGCCAATCATGTAGCGTAACGTCCCTGGATGAAGCAGGACCAAGCAGATCCGGTTACTACAGCCGTCCAATTTGTACCACATACCTGAAAAACGCTAAAATCTATGGAGGACCAGCGTACAATTAATTACACTCAAAAATACAAGAAAATAAT